GTGGAGTTTAAGAGGGGAAAACACTTGTGAAGTATAATTTAAGGCCAAGGATGTTTGTTTAGATTCTTAACACTGATGTAGTATTTTTCATTTACCTCAATATTTAAAGCCACCCACTTTATAGGAGAAAACAAGTAACAGGACAGGAGCCTACTACAGAGGGCCTCTGAGAGACTCTACCTAGCAGTGTATCAAAGCAGATGCTGAGACTCATAATCAAACCTTCGGCAGAGTGCAGGGAATCATATGAAAGAAGGGGGAGTTAGTATGTCCTGGAGAGGACAGGAGCTCCACAAGGACCAAACATATCTGGGCACAGGAGTCTTTTATGAGACTGATTCTCCAACCAAGGACCATGTATGTATATAAACTAGAACCCCTGCTCAGATGTAGCCCATGGCAGCTCAGTCTCCAAGTGGGTTACCTAGTAATGGGAAGAGGGACTATTTCTGACATGAACTCAATGGCGGGCTCTTTGACCCCCCCACCCCTGAGGGAGGAGCAGCCTTGCCAGGACACAGAGGAGGATACTGCAGCCAGTCCTGAAGATACCTGCTAAGCTAGGGTCAGATGGAAGGGGAGGAGGACCTCCTCTATCAGTGGACTTGGAAAGGGGCAGGGAGAAGATGGGAGAGAGGGTGGGATTGGGAGGGAATAAGGGAGCAGGCTATAGCTGGGATACAAAATTAATAAACTGTAACTAATATTAAAAAAGCTACCCACTTTAATGTCTCAACATACTACTATAGGGAAATTTATATTGTGCCAGAATATCATGCAATGAGAATATTTGTCTTCCAGGTGAAATATTATGCAAACTTGATGGTAGGCCCAAAAAGGATATGTAACAAAACAAACTTTGCAATATCGAAAGTATATGTAAACACAATGAAGTCATAGCTATGTAATAAGATATTACATTAAGCTGTGGAAAACAGCTATAGATGTAATGAAACAACAAAGTTTCAGTAATGAATGGAAGTGACTGCTGGAGGCTCATCTTACCAGTTCAACTCAGCTTCATTAGTTATGAGTTGTCTTGGAATGCAATGCTATCTCAAGAGTCAAGATCTGAGGGATGAAGAAAGAATTCCATATCTTCCAGATACTTTTGTTTTAATCTGTCTCAAGACATGTGTTAAAAACCTTTGTAAACTGCTCCATTGTCATGTGTGTTAATTACATGACCGTTTTCCATCGGACAAGATTCTGTAAGGGACATCACTACGAGAACAGCTAAAGGGGGAAAAGATGTTTCATCACCTCTGAAACTGTTTTGGCGGAAGAAAGACTAAGAAGAAATTGGATAAAATGATGATGGAAGAAACAAGAAGAGTAGGACAGCATGCTGGGAAAGCAACTTAGAAATACAAAACTAACCTTGGGCCTTCCTCACAGGAAGATGTGAGACTTAATTATTTTCTTAAAACCTGTAAGAATTGTTTTCCCACATTTTGGGATGTTTGATGTGCAAACTTACTGGAGTTTTTTGTTTGTTTTCAGCCATTTAATGACTATTATTTTAAAAGGAAAGATGTAAAACTGAATAAGGATGAGGAAGCTTATGACTTATACCTTGAATTTTTTAATTAAGTTTTTATTTTTTATATTAGTTTATTCACCTTGTATCCCAGCTGTAGCCCCCTATCTCATCCCCTTCCAATATCATCCTCCCTCCCTCATTTCCTCCTATGCCCTTCTCCAAGTCCACGAATAGGGAAGGTCTTCCTCTTCTTCCATCTAACCCGAGCTTAACCTGTCTCATCAGGACTGGCTGCATCGTCCTCCTCTGTGGCCTGCCAAGGCTGCTCCCCCATCATGGGGAGGCAGTCAAAGAGCAGGACAATCAGTTCATGTCAGACAGTCCCTGTTCCCCTTATTAGGAAACCCACTTGGATACTGAGCTGCCATGGGCTATATCTGAGCAAGGGTTCTAGTTTATATCCATGAATGGTCCTTGGTTGGGAATAAGTCTCAGAAAAGACCCCGGTGGTTCTGTTGCTATCCTTGTAGAGCTCCTGTCGTCTCTAGATCTTACTATCTCCCCCTTCTTTCCTAAGAGTCCATGCACTCTGCCCAAAGTTTGTTTATGAGTCTCAGTATCTGCTTTGATACAATGCTGAGTAGAATCTTTCAGAGGCCCTCTGTGGTAGACTCCTGTCCTGTTTCCTGTTTTCTCCTTCTTCTAATGTCTGCCCCATTTGCCTTTCTGAGTGAAGATTGATCATCTTACTCAGGGTCCTCCTTCTAGCTCAGCTTCTTTAGGTGTACAGATTTTTATAGGTTATATTTGTTCAACCATGTTTGTAGCATCTTTATTTGTAATAGCCAGAACCTGGAAACAACCCAGATATCCCTCAGTGAAGGAATGGATACAGAAATTGTGGTACATTTACACAGTGGAATACTACTTAGCAATTAAAAACAAGGAAATCATGAAATTTGCAGGCAAATGGTGGGAACTAGAAAAGATCATCCTGAGTGAGGTATCCCAGAAACAGAAACACACACACATGGTATATACTCACTTATAAGTGGGTACTAGACATATATAGGATAAACCTACAAAAATTTGTACCTGGATTTTAGGGACTTGGTAAAGCTTGTCCCAATGCTGCAGAAGGGAACTGGAAGCTCCCTGAAGGGTGACTGGGGAGCCAGGCTGGCTTCAGCGTGCCTGGGACTTGGGTCCTGCTCTGAGTTGCTGATACAGTAGATCTTGAGTGGGCATCTAGGTTGTGCTTTTTTAGGAGGTATGCAGGTGCTGTGGTCTGGGTCTGTCTGAGTGTTCTCCAAAGCATCATTTGTTAGAGACTTGTCTCCAGTATTGTGATGAGAGGATGGTGGACTCCTTAAGAGGCGGGACTTAGAGCAAGTTCCTGCTGGTGCTACCCATTCAAGGGGGATCTTGAGAGAAGGAATTGTTGTTGGGGTTAATGTGATCTCTCTCCTCCCTTGCTTTCTACCTCATCATGCCACCTTCCCCCATCACCCACATTTGTATGTGTATATATACACACATGAGAGCTCTCACTATAGGCTGAATTGGTAGGGCTACTAAATCTTGTACTTTCAAACTTAAAAAGAAAGTGCTCAGATTTGGGCATTTCATTATAGCAACAAAAGCTGGACTAATAGATGCTGCTGATTTTCTGGACACCACAAACTGGGAGAAAGTGGCTTAAATGTCAGTTCTCTACCTCTCTGCTTTAGGTCCTGAGCTTGAGGGGCCAGTGTCCTCTAAATACTTTTGGATGAGGCAGGCTGCTTCAAGTTGGCTAATTTATGATTTTGTTTCTCTGCCTCCCAGTTCTACACAGCTCTTGGCTCCTAATGATAGCATAGGCTCTCTCTCCTTTTTTCATTCTGAGATGTATGACTTTTTGGTCCCAGGCTTTTTTCTGTCTTGACTAGATTGACTTTTCCTTAGATTGGAATCTGTGGTACATCCAGATGCTTCTAACTTCAAGCTTGGCTCCATCATTTCCTGGCACATATCTTGGTGCTCTTGCGTTCATGGCAGCATTTTGATAATTCTTCATAGCCAGCTTGGACTAATAGAATAAAACACCATCGCCTGGGTGTCCATATACTACACAATTTTATTTTTCACAGTTCTAGAAATAAGAAAGGCCAAGGCCAAGATGCTGGCAGTTTCACGGTCTAAAAAAAATCCTTGATTTTTAAAATTGTTTCACTTTAGTTATTTAATATAATTATTTTAAACTTGTTATTGATTCTTTTTGAGTTTTACATCATGCACCCCAATCCCACTCATCTCCCTAGCTCTTCCTATCTGTCCTCTGCCCTTGCAACCTCCTCCAACCACAAAAGGAAATAAAAAAAATAAAAAATAAACAAAACAAAACAAAGCATAGAAAACATCTCGTAATGGAAGCTGTAGTATGTCACAGTGTGTCTCACATTATTCCCTTTTGTCCATTCATCTTTACTTGCAAATGTTCACTGCAATGAGTCATTGGTCTAGTCCAAGGCCTCTGGCTTCTGCTATCCTAACAATACAGGATCCTTACCAGGACTCCTTTCAGTTTTCCTGTTGTTACCTTGTGTCATAGAGACCCTGCAGCTTTGGATCAGCAGAACTGGCCCTTTCATGCACTCCAGTAGTTCAAAGATGAAGTAGATTTGAGGTGGACCAACTCAAAGCTCTGGATCTGGACCTGGGTGGTAGCTGAGATGGTTAGCCTGCCAGCTCTCCCTTACCCTTAACACCAGGGCAAGTTTTTCAGCACTGTGCCAGCTAGCTCACCCAAAGCTGCAGCTGGCAAGGGGCAGGGACAGCTTTCCTGTTCTCATGCCCTTGGGCTGGCTCTATGCCTTTGTCCTCAGGGCCAACTCTACTATGTTGCCCAGGCAAGGTGCAGGGCCTGCCCTCCTGAGTGATGTAGCTGATGAAGGGCAGGGACAGCTCTCCTGCTCTCATATCCTTGGGGCCAGCTCTGGAGAAAGAAGACATCTCACCTGTGCCCAAACTACCTCATGGCTGAAGAGTGGCAGGACAAGCTCTCCCAAGCTCACACAGGAGCTTGTTTTTTATTTTTTTGTTTGGTTTTTGTTAAAATGCACAGCTGTGGTCTTCTCACTTAATCTCAGGTAGCAAAAGAGTCCAGGGATTTCTATCAGGTCTCCTTTTTTGTTTAAGGACATTATTGCTTTTTGAACGTAAAGTGTTCTCCATTGACTTGTGTTTAAACACTCTGTGGTGCCCTTCTGAAAAGTTAAGGAACCTTTAGGAGGTAGAGCCCCACCTGGAAGAAGTGAGTCATGGGGGTGGGCCTTGAACTTTTACAGCCACTTCCTGTTCTCTTCTTCCTGCCTAAAGATATGAAGTGACCATAAGCCTCTGCTCCTATTGCTATGCTTTCCTCACCATGATGAACCCTCTTCTCTGTGTCTTCCTCGGAGTGAAAATGTCGACACAAGGGTTTTTGGGAGTCATGCATATTCAGGTCACAGCAATCCCACAAGGCAAAAGAAGTACATAATGGTTCCACTTCTTAAGTAAGTGGGTCCCAATAGTTTATTGCTACATTTCGTAGGGCCAGCACCAGCTGCTGTGTTGAGCTCAAAACCATAAAATTTTGTGAGACTCCTGTGTATCACAGGAAAAACAGTTTGGGAACCAGAGCTTGATGGTCTGTCCCATTTCTTTGGGCTTTTTGTCTATTTCTCAGTGGAACCCATGGTCACAATTTTCTACTAGAGATCAGTTCCCACCACTTTCCATAAGTGAACACAAGTTAATGGCAATATTTATATTTATTTTTGCAACTTCTCAGATAAAAACCATTTAAGGAATGTCTGGTAAAGTATTATTCTCATAAAAACATCTTTTTAAAACAAGTGGTTTTCTATTTTCCACAAAAGTTAAAATGACATGCAGAAACAGGGTTAGTTTCTTAGATAACACAATACAGTTTTAGAAGACACGTAGAGTAAGTATGACCAGAGAATAAGCTACATCATTAAACTCAAGTACACCACTAGAAAACTCACGCAGTAGTAAAATATAAAAATCTACAATTATAAATATAAATTTGGTCCATGGAGACACCAGAGTCGTATTTACATAAGTTGCTATCAGTCCTACTTCAGGTGAACACTGCATCGGGGATAGAGTAGTTTACTTACAGTCTACTATATTAAAAGTTATATTTCTAGCAAACCCGATGATTGCCACAAATACAGCTAATAATTTGACACTTAAAAACAAACATCTTTCAAGGTTGGTGATTCCTATTATCTATAAATCGATTTGTTGTTGTTGTTGTTGTTAAAATCAACATGGAGAAAATACCACAATTCAATTCTTAGAAACACTGTAAAATTCAATCATTTTAGTTCAAACATAATGAGTGAATTACAAGAAGTCTTTCAAAAAGGCACACGTTGTTAATGGTGTCAATTTGGCAGCAGAATGAATTACCATCAGGTCATGGGAAGTAAACAGATAACAGAACCGAACCCATTTTTCTAATTTTGGAAAGAGGAGAGCAATGCTTGGATGGGAGTTGTCCTTCCCCTTTTCTTTGTTAAACTAAAGACTCCAGGCTTTCAGCTATATTTCCGTCAGGCAAAGCTGCCCCATTGCTGTCCAGAGAGGTGGACGGATTCTCTTCCTGCCTGGTGCTGACAAGGCTGAGGACCACTTTGTAGAGAAACTGGTACTGGTCCTAGAAAACACAGAAAGGTAGATTACACAGAGGATGCTCAACAGAGACACGGGGTTGCAAAAACAGGAATGATTTCAGATGCACTTTGGCACTGTTCATGGAAGGGACAGGGCTTAGCTGAGGTGCACGATCTACATTTGGTTGAATCTGTTTGGTTAAGCCAAAATCGCTTTGCAATGAGTGAATAGTCACTGAATTTAGAGAAGAAGCCTACACATATGTCACAGCAATAATCACTCAGTTCTTACTCCCTTGTTTCCTGGAGTTGGAAGATAATACAACTAGGTTTAATCTGTGTTCAGCATCCACAGCTCTACAAAAAGAAGCATGTTTCCTTTCTCTTCTTTTTCTTTTTCATACATCTGAGTCTAGTCTTGAGCTCACTATGTAGTGGAGGATGAACTTTGATCCCCTTGTCCCTACCTCCCATGTGACAAGATCAAAGATGGGTTGTGTATTTCCAATTTCTGTGGAGGTAGGGATCAAAACTAGCTCCTTGTGCATGTTAGGGAAGCACGTTGCTGAGTTATATCCCCAACCTCATAACTAAGTGTCTTATTTTTCTTTATTTAATTGCCATGTAACCAAATGCTTCTGTCTATGTCTGGGAAGAGCTCAACAATGGCTGTATTATCACCAGAGAACAGCCCTTCACCAGACAGCCTGCTCACCAAACGCTCTTCACAGTATCATTCCTCCTAGCTTGATGGTCTGCCTTGAGAAAAGGGGTGTCATGCTCCCCAGTGATCTCTCTGGGGCCCTCATCTGTACTCAGCTAAGAAGCTGACCCTGATATCAGGACTTTGAAATCCACCTGAGACTCTCATCAGCTTCTTATTATTTTGCCACAACAATAACATCTTTCAGGTTATTTCTAAGCTAAACCTTGAAACCAAAAGTGCTGTGTCTCTTTCTTGACATGTCTCTTTTCTCTGAAAAGTATCCAAGAATTAGTTATTTGTTAATTTCAGAAACTGGATTTGGCTTGAAAAAAAAAAAAGAGTAAATAGCTCTAACATTTAAGTCTTTGATATTTGTATGTATGTATGTATGTATGTCTGTATGTATGTATGTATGTATGTATGTATGTATGTATGTATGTTTTGTGAAGCCCCGATTTGAACCTCAGGAATATAACTACTCAGTTTGTTGGTAATTCTACTAAAGATATTTTTAGGCATCACAATGAATCCTGTAAAAAGGCATGGAGTGATTTAATTTTTTTAAAATATATTAGTCTTCTGCAAGGTGCAGACTTGTAATTCAGCTTGAATGCTGTTAGCTAATGCAACCTACCAACTACTGTGACACTGTGACCTTCCTTACAGGTGATAAAACAAAACTTTACAAACACCTAGGGAGGGTTATTTCAGCAGTAAACAGTGAGGTTCATCACTTACAATGTCAGTGAAGACTCCTGGCCTCATCAAATTGATCATCTTGGCTACTTGGTAAACATCCATGGAGTTTTCTCTTTCTAGTTGGTGCATAAGTGTTGTCAGAGCACAGAAAGTTCCTGCTGTTACTCCTCCATGCCTTGTGGTAAAGAGAAAGGGCAGACTCCATTCAGATGGAATACATTTGTAACTCGGAGCACACAGTCTTGAAATGGCTTGTCTCTCTTTATTGTGCATAGAGTTATGGTTGAATTGGAGACAGTGTCACATGCACCATTAAAAACAAGATCCTTTATGAAATAGTTTCCTGTTTAAAAATGCTGTGTTATTTTTATTCTGTGAAAGAGGCAGGCAAAAAATGTTTGACTGAGGATATAATATATAAATTATATACCTTATGGAATAGGTATATAACACAATTCTAGCATTTTTCATTGTTATAGAAACAAAAAAAATCATGGAAAAAAGGTTTCTTTTTTAGGCAAAAGGGAAACAACACAAAACACCAATGAACAGTCATTTGTATTCCTTTCTCAAGAAGTAAATAGCTGAGACATACCATGTGTTAGCTCCTATAAAAGTCCAGTGCTTGAACACTGTCTCACATCAACACATGCCCCCACTATAAGACATAAGAGCAGATTCCCACGCTCATACATAAGTCTTCTGCCATCACCAGCAGTTACAAGGAAGGGACAATGTTCTCTGTCACCTTTGATGATAAAAAACAGCCAATCCCAGGGCCTCTGAAAGGCTCTGCCCTGAAGACTATCAAAGCAGATGCTGAGAGTTATGGCCAACTGTTGGGCAGAGTGCATGGAATCTTATGAAAGAAGTGGGAAATAGTAAGATCTGGAGAGGACAGGAACTCCACAAGGAGAACAACAGAACAAGAAAATTTGAACACAGGGGTCTTTCCTGAGACTGATACTCCAACCAAGTACCATGCCTGGAAATAACCTAGAACCCCTGCACAGATGTAGCCCATGGCAGTTCAGTGTCCAAGTGGGTTCCATAGTAATGGGAAGAGGGACTGCCTCTGACATAAACTGATTGGCCTGCTCTTTGATCACCTCCCCCTGAGGGGGGAGCAGCCTTACCAGGCCACAGAAGATGACAATGCAGCCACTCCTGATGTGATCTGATAGACTAAGATCAGAAGGAAGGAGAGGGGGATCTCCCCTATCAGTGGACTTGGGGAGGGGCATGCATGAAGAAAGGAGAGGGAAGGTGGGATTAGGAGGGGAGGAGGGAGGGGTTTATGTGGGGACACAAAGTGAATAAAGTGTAATTAATAAAAGTTAAATTTAAAAAAAAGCAGCCAATCCACCATGGCTGAATCAGCACATGGACCGAAGACATCAGGCTTATCCAAGGACAGCAGAATCATGCACATATCCAGAGGTGTACAATGATTGGAATCATGAGACTTACTCATCGTGAACAATCATGGGCCCATCCCTGTTAGCAGCTTCTTCTTTGATAATACTTATAAGTTCGAATGTTTTACTAATGGGACTATCCGGATTTGGCCATTTGGGGCACTGAAAATGCCTCACTTCCAGCACATAATCATCCTATGAGAAGAAAGAACAAATCACTATTTTAAAAAATGCTAATACTGGGCTAGTGACAGTTTATAATGAGTAGAATAACTGAGAGAAATGGAAACTGAAGCTAGATGATAAAAATAAGTCATGCTATATTGGAAGTACATTCCTCATTGTCTTGGGAGAAAATCATTGCAATGAGACATTAATCACGAATAGATCAGTTCGCCAGGATAAAAACGAAACATTATCTCCTTTTCAGCTCTTTGTGTGTTGGGGTGTCTATGTGAGCACCTGTGTGCGCATGGAGGTAAAAGGTGGATATCAAATGCTTACAATTTTTCTCTACCATAGCCTTTGAGACGAGATCTTTCATACAGAGCTTACTGATTTGGATGAGACTGGTTGGCCAGCAAACCCTTGGTATCTCCCTACCTCTGCCTTCCCAGGACTGGGATTACGGGTGTGCACCGCTCTGCCTGGCTTTCATGTTAGTGCCTGGACTTGAACTCAAGTTCTTATGTTTCAGTGGCAAGCTCTTTAACAACTGATTCATCTTCCCAACCCCTCCCTTTTAGTTCTAAGAAGAAATCTTGTTTGTGGGTGAATCATATCAATGCTGGTAAACCATGAAAGCATGCCATAGAGATGTGTCTGCCCTGCTCCATTTGAAGTTACAAGAGGAACTCTTCAGTGTTAAAGAAAAGAGCACAGATTGCCAGACACAGCGGTACTCCTCAGAATGAGATGAGGCAACAAATAAGAAGACATCTGGAAAGGGGGTAGAGGTCTACTTTGATCTCCAGTCTCCTTTACTTTTTGTGTGCTAACCAGACTATGCCACTTGATGAAATAAACCTCTAACCTCCAGTTTCCTAAAGTGAACTTAATGTGATGCGATAATAGAATAGGGCCCGAAAGATGGGTTAGCAGCTGAAAGCACTAACTGCTCTTCCAGAGGACCTGGGTTTGATTCTTCGTACCCTCACAGTGGCTCACAACCATCGGTAGCTACAGATCTAGGGGATTTGATTTCCTATTTTGGCCTCCATGGGCATTGCATGCAAGTGGTGCCCAGACATACAAGCAGACAAAATGCCCATCTACAGGAAATAAACAAAAATCTCAAAAAAACAAAAAAGGGAGAGAGAGAGAATTAGAATTATTTTTGTAGCTGGGCGTAATGGCACATGCCTGTAATCCCAACACTCAGGGAGGCAGAGGCAGAAAGAGCTCTATGATTTCAAGGCCACCATGGTCTACAAAGTGACTACAGTACAGCCAAGGTTACACAGAGAAACCATATCTTGAAAAAAATATATATATAGTTTGTTTGTTTACACCCTAAGTTCTATCAGCAACCAATTTTGAGTAAAAGAGAAATTTTGCTTTCCTGTGTACACTGAAGATAAATATTATATAGTTTAGCAAAGATTAATAGTTTGAAGATTCTGTAAGACTTTGGAAGTAAAAACGATAAGTAAAAGAATATTCCTGGAATTATTTCAGTTTGTAAGAAATCAGAATCATTTCCACTTCGAATAAAGATTCCCACGTCACCACATGTGTCACAGGTGAGCAGGAGAGAAGTGCATCCTTTAATCTGTTCCCACACCTGTGTGGCTTCGAGGATGAAGTCTTGAACTATCAGCTTTTCCTCATTTGATAGACATTTGTGCTCTTCAGACATAAGAGTGACTTTGAAGCTTTCACAATTTATGGGCTCATCCTTGTTTGGCCAGTAAACGAATTCATCTTCTGCCTGAGAGAGAACAAGGAAAAGTGTAGGTTTTCATGAAATACCTCATTGGTCTGGTTGTAAAATAAGAGCAATTGGTTAGCATAGAAATTTCAAATACATTTTTCTTTCAATAACAAAACTTGCCATTGGATTTATTTATAAAACGAAGTGTTGCACAACCCAAACTATCATTTTGTGCTCTTGGCTCATCGGTCGCATCGGGAAGCCTGTTGCTTCTATAACGGATAATGAAGTAGAATGACTGAAGCAAGGGCTCATCAATTCCTAGCATGATTTGAACTCTCTGTGACTTTTGATACAGAACTGAATCTGGAAGTTAAGTATATATGCCAAACCCAAATCAAAACATTAATTTTGACTGACTCTTTTGGTTCTATAAACATAGAAATAAGAGTAGACTTGTCATTGATATCGTGAAGAGGTCTTTCCAAGTTTATATTTTCTAAATGATGATGATGATGATGATGATGATGATGATGATGATGATGATGATGATAAAGCAGCTTTCCAGCGTGGGCAGGAGAAGAACTTATGAGCCACCACCCTAGCTGAGGCGCTATTGGCAGATAAGAGAAGCTTGAGGAGGAAGATTCACTCTTCTTTGGGACTATGGGCACTTGTAGGGTGTCCATGTTTCAGTGGATAGTGCCAGACTCATGCTTATATCCTCATCAGTAATTATACTGAGTTATTCAAAATCAAGTTGGGAGAGGTGTGCATTGGAAAAATCTAGAAAGAATTGGGGTGGGTGTAATTCTATTCCATTGTATTCATGTAGGAGACCCCGAAGGAATACATTGGAAAGTTTTCTAAATCTCTTCTACATAAAGAGACTTTTACCACCAAATCTACATGAAATAACCTTGGTTGGCATTAGAAAGAGGATGTAACTATGTAATCAGTGCCACAAATACATATTTAGCAACTTTTCTACTGCACTTAGATCTCTCATCAATTATTTTTTTTCCAATGGAACTGTGTAGCCACTCCAGACCAGCAAAGCATGACTCCAGTGACATTAATCTACTAGCTGAAAATAAGATTACTTCTCTTGTTTGTATGATAGGCTTCTGGCTACTACCATGTTATATTTTCCATATAAGAAAAGAACAGGAAGTGACCTACCATGTTCTGACCATCTGGAATCATAACCACCAGCTGGGCATTGTGATCCCATATCATTCTCCAGAAGTCCTTGATAGTGTGCAGAAGAGGATGCTGGGTGATGATGAATTCATGGCTCTGGTAATAACCCTGCAAAACCAACGACAAGATAAACGACATAGGAATAAACAGAGAAACATGTTTTTACGTTAAAGTAGTGTATTTAATTATAGATAGAATGTTGAAATAATAATGTATTGCAACCAAAATTTGCTGAGCACTATCTGTATGCTAGGTGCGGCTTTCTTTGTACTAAGGGAACTGTGAGATAGAAACTATAATCCTCATTTTAAAGGTGATTAAACTGGGTTATTCCAAGCTAAGTGCTGTGGACGAGTTTACCTTAAGAAATACCATAACCTCTAGAAGTAGATGCACCAAAATGGCTTGTGTACGTGTCTCTTGCACTACTTAGGAGTATTAATCCACGGTAGAGTTTACAATCCTTATTGTCCACAGGCTCCAGGCTTCAGAATACTAGCTCTCACTCCCCCTCACCTCAGGTCCTGTCCTGACCCCCTGGCTGCCCCTCCTATGAGAAAGAAAAGGCAGGCTCCTTTCTGTTGTGCCTAGGAAGACTGGAAAGTGGTGTTAACTGGGTCAAACAATTTCCACACTGTTAACTGAACTCACAACTCTCCTCTTGCAGAATGGTCTTTCACTACCTCCATGGGCCCATTTGGAATATGGTGTGTGTCTGACAGTGGTAATCGCACATCTGCCTGCTGTTTCCCGCATGCACAGTCTTTAGTCATTTCTTTGATAGCTGGCTAGAACAGTGGTTAGGAATGAAGATTAGGACTCTTTCATTTGAAGCCAAGTTGCATGATTGACTATCCTGAGGTAATGAAGGACACATAAAAGCCAGCAGAGTACTCATCCATGCAGCAGACAATCGTGTTGCAGAGGAGGTTTTTAATTATTTATTTATTATAATTTATTCACTTTGTATCCCAGCTGTAGCCCCTTCCCTTGTCCCCTCCCAATTCTGCCCTCCCTTCCTCTTCTCTGCCCATGCCCTTCCCCAAGTTCACTGATAGGGGAGGTCCTCCTCCCCTTCCATCTGACCCTAGCCTATCAGCTCTCATCAGGACTGGTTGCCTTGTCTTCCTCTGTGTCCTCCATCAGGGGGAGGCGATCAAAGAGCCAACCACTGAGCTCATGTCAGAGACATGAACTGTTCCCCTTACTAGGGTACCCACTTGGACACTGAGCTGGCATGGGCTACATCTGTTCAGGGGTTCTAGGTTATCTCCATACATGGTCCTTGGTTGGAGTATCAGTTTCAGAAAAGGCCCCTGTGCCTAGATATTTTGGTTCTGTTGCTCTCATTATAGAGCTCCTGTCCCCTTCATGTTTTTCTATCTTCTCTTTCTTTCATAAGATTCCCTGCACTCTGTCCAAGTTTGGCTATGAGCCTCAGCATCTGCTTCGATATCATACTAGGTAGAGTCTTTCAGAGTCCCTCTGTGGTAGGCTCTGGTCCTGTTCCCTGTTTTCTCTCTCTCCTGATGTCCATCCCGTTTGTCTTTCTAAATGAGGATTGATCATTTTACCAGGGTTCTCCTTCTTGCTTAGCTTCTTTAGGTGTACATATTTTAGTATGATTATCCTATATTATATGTCTAATATCCACTTATAAGTGAGTATATACCATATGTGTCTTTCTGTTTCTGGGACCTCACTCAGGATGATCTTTTCTAGTTCCCACCATTTGCCTGCAAATTTCATGATTTCCTTGTTTTTAATTGCTGAGTAATTTACAGAAGGAAGGTTTTGTATCTTTAGAAGTCCAATAGTGCAAACAAACCCAGCACATAAGAAAGAACTGTGCTGCAAACCTGGGGTGCTAATTTTAGGGAATTGGGCTCTGTGGAAGCTGGTGTGCCTGTCTCTGCCCCAGATCTGTGACTTGGTAAATGAGAACCTATGTTTTATGTCTCCTCACCATCTCTGAATGGTGAATGTGGAACTCTGTATTTACTTATTTATTTTGATTGAGGTTTCTTCAGTTTTATCATGCTTGAAAACATCAGGTTGTGCTGCTGTTCTTCTGGCCACTGATGAGTGTGTGCCACAGCCATTATATTGGACTGACATCCCCCATCAGCTGCTGTTCCTGCATCAGGGAGCCCTCTCTGCTGCTAGTTCTGGTAACAGGCAGGCATGCAAGCTCTTCTGTGATGTTTCTTACTTACCATGATATAGGATGCATTGATGTAGTCCGTGCCTTCCCCACTCAGGGATGAAATGCCCACCCTTGATCTTTCCACTGGAACACAGAACATTCCAGGTAAGCAAACATGCTCACTGCACTGAGCCATCCCCTCTCCCAACAACCCCCAATGCAAAGTACAGTTGCTTTTCTCATTGAATGCCTTTGATGGTTAAACTGATTGTTGAAGTTAAGCTTTGCATTTTTGATGGAGCCAGTTTTAGTAGTCACATACTGGGTATAATTAGAACAATATGACAAAAGATTTAACATAATTAGTATACATAATAATTATGAAACGTCTTGCAAAAATGAAAATTAAAAAAAAAGGAGTTGATTTTTGTAAGATCCTGTGTGACTTACCAGGGATGATGGAGGACGTTCTATTCTTCTCTCTGTTACATTGCTTCAGGGCTGTAGAATAGTCACTCTGAAGAATATTCGACTGACCCAGAAGCTGAGCAAGGGAGGCATAGACAAATGCAGGTCATTTCATGCACTTCACCCAGATACCAAACACACACTGACATGGCTCAGCAAAAGGATAATATTTAATGGATACACAGCTGATGTGTTTGATCCCAGGGGTTCTTTGAATTAAGCCCCCTTTTAGGGATGTCCCAGGAGCAACTATGCTTCATCTCAAGGCCTTCAGTCTTGAGAGGATCTCCCTGATGGCTTCGGCTGTGGTCATATGACCTCCATTTCCTCTGCTTATTCTTGCTAATGTTAAGTAGTTACTTAATTTTTGGAATGATCCTACAACCTTCATCAGGATGCTAGAAGCTATACTGTTGATTTTCAGCCACTGAAACTTTAAATGCAACTTTACGGCTACCACCCTGTCAGTGTTTCACTCATACAATATCTTGCTGTCAAATATTCATGTGTTTCATAAAATACATGGGCTAGATTTCCACTGACTTTTTAAAAATCAATATTTGCACATTTAAAAATATCTGGCAAAGCCTTGCCTTTCCCCCCACCCTCCCTTACAGTATGTTTTTAAGTTTAGAAAATATTTAAAACAGGGTCTCACTCTGTAGCCCAGGATGACACTGAATTTGTCATCCTTATGTCTCAGCATCTTAAGCGCTGAGATTCCAGGTAAGCTATCACACCCAGCATGTCCCTATTTTGTTTGTGGACACTTCCTCCTTCCTGCATCAAGAACAGATTTGTCTTCAGAAAAGGGGAGCTCCCTTTCCCATCCGCCCCAGCTAATCAAGTTGCATCACAGGCGAAGGGGAGGGGAGAAGAAGGAAGGGTGAAGCTGGCAGGGGAGGAGGGATGGGGATACAACCAGGATGTAAAGTGAATAAAAAATAAATATTTTCTTTATAAAATGAACAGATTTGTCCGAGTTACTAGTGTTTTCTCTCAGCTGCCATCCCTAAAGGCTGTACATTTATTTCTACGCATACCTGCTCTGCAAACCACAAAGGTCTTCCTGCTTTAGAGCCCATTCCCACCTGTGTCCTTTTTTTTCCTTTCTCCAGAGCTGAGGGCTGAACCCAGGACCTTGCACTTGCTACACAAGTGCAAGCACTCCACCACTGAGCTAAATCCCCAACCCCTTCACCTGTGTTCTTAATCCTACCTCTTTGTACTTGCTAAGGATCTTTGCTAATTCCAATTTTCTCCCTTCCCCTACTTCTAAAGGGAACTCAGATATCTCTTACTAAGACACAACCAAAATCAAAATAAGCAAGATAAAAACTGTCCTACCCTTTCAGCTCCTATTTCCTAGCAGCTGTCTTTATTACTCCTTTCAGTGCCAAGTTTTAAAAATATTATTATTATTATTATTATTATTATTATTATCATTATTATTATTGTGTGTATCTCTACGTGCATGTCACATGTGTTCAGGAGCCTGTAGAGACCGGAATATGGTATTATGTTCCTTGAGCTGGAGTTACATTAGCTGAGAGCCACTTCATGGCGTTGAGACATGACCCTGCATCCCCTGAAGAGCAGCAATCAATCTTACCAGCCGAGATATACCTACAGACTTCAGAAAGCCAACTTTGAAAAGAGCTAGGTGACTCTTCTCTATACTTCAAATCCAGTCAGGTTTTGAAATTTAGTTTCGAAACTTGGTATGCAAAGTATGGGTGTCAGCAGAACGTTTTCATAGACGTAGGTCAGTACTTTTTCCTCTTGTCTCTTTCTCTAGTGCCCTTCTCCTTCTTCTCAGTCTGCTTTTTGCTGTGCACTTTTCATTTGGGTTTTAACTCTTCAATGCCATAGGGATCGCAAAGCTCCTCAGTGCCCCATGGCTCAGCCCCACTGCCCTTTCTATAAGGACTCCATTTGTTATTAGCATTTGTCATCTCAGTTCTTTTTCTCCCCTTGAAACCTTACTTTCTTTGGATTCCTTTATCCCTCGCTATCTCTTACTCTCATGACTTCTATTTAATCCTCTTACCTCCCCTTATTTCTGTATGAACTTGAATAAATATTGTGTTTTAAATAAGACAGTGCACATTTACACCAGGCTGACATTGAATTTGTGGCAATCCTTATGTCTCAAACACTGAAATTCCAGGTAAGTTTTCACACCCAGTATGCCCCTATTTTGTCTGTGAACACTTCCTACTTCCTGCATCAAGAACAAATTTGTCCTCAGAAAAGGGGAGCTCCCTTTCCCATCCACCCCAGCTCACAAAGTTGCATCATAGGCGAGGGGGGGGGAAGGGTTTGAAGGTTTATATTGTGAACAGAAACAAGAAAGTCAAATCTCTCTTTAAATTAAATATTTAAGTTGTATTTCTATTTAAATCCTGGATTATTCAGCTTAATCCATATTAATTCTCTTATGTGACTCTGTAGTAGGTTAATCATACTTAAATAAGAATTATGTTGACAACAGGTGATATAGCTTTAAAATTAGATTGATGGGATAGCCTTTCATGTCTGCAAAAGGTGTTCTTGCAAATTAAATTTCATGCTTTACATTTTTTTATTTCTTTACCTTTTCTTTTTTTATTTTTTTTCTTTATTGATTACACTTTATTCACTTTGTATCCCTCCTGTGGTTCCCTCCCTCCTCCCATCTCAATCTCTCCATTCCTCCATGCTCTGCATGCATGCCCCTCCCCAAATCCACTGATAGGGGAGGTCTTCTTTTCCTTCCTTCTGATCCTAGTCAATTAGGTCTCATCAGGAGTGGCTGCAGTGTCTTCTTCTGTGGCCTGGTAATGCTGCTTCCCCCTCAAGGGGAGGTAATTAAAGAGCAGGTCAATCAGTTCATGTCAGAGATAGTCCCTGTTCCCATTACAATGGAACCCACTTGGATACTGAACTGCCAAAGGCTACATCTGTGCAGGGGTCTTAGATTATCTCCATGCATAGTCCTTGGTTGGAGTATCAGTCTCAGGAAAGACCCCTGTGCCTAAAACTGGACCTCATTAACAAAAATAACAAAAGGCCTACACACACATGGAAACTGAACAACTTGCTACTAAATGACAGCTGGGTCAGAGAAGAAATAAAGAAATTAAAGACTTCCTAGAATTCAATGAAAATGAAGGCACAACATACCCAAACTTATGGGACACAATGAAAGCAGTGCTAAGAGGAAAGTTCATAGCACTAAGTGCCTTCAAGAAGAAATTCGAAACATCTCCTACATTTTTTAAATTATTTCTAGAACCTAGTTTATACACTTTCTCCAAAGCATCCCTTTGTGATCACATAGGCCTGCTGAGCAAGAAAACACGGCATCTTTCAGAAAACACGTTCTGAGATCAGCAGTCACCTTTTGGTGGCTTGAATAGTCCTGGCCCACATAGAATCATGTGTTTGAATGCTTGGCCGTAGGAAGTGGCACTATTAGGAGGCCTTATTGGAGGAGGTGTGGCCTTGTTAGAACACATCCAGTCTCCTGGCTACTTTCAGATCAAGATGTAAAACTCTCAGCATCTCTAGCACCATGTCTGCCTGGATGCTTCCATGCTTCCCACCATGACAACAATGGAGTAAACTTCTGAAACGGTAAGTCATTCCCAATTAAATGTTGACCTTTATAAGAGGGGCTTTGGCCCTTGCGTCCCTTCGCAGCAGTGGAACCCTAACTAAGACAACACTCCAATTTTCTTTCTCATTCCCAGGACATAAAAGCGCAGTTCCAAGAAGGTCAGAAGTAGAAGATTGGTGCTCTTTAGCACACCTATGCTGTAGGCCAGGCCAGTAGCAAGGAGTAAAGGGTTTCAAGGTTAACGCTTCTTAACCTTTTCCCGGGGTCTTTTAAATTCTTCTTAGACATTGTTTCCTTATAAATTAGCCCTGTTTCTCTTGAAACCCTGAGAAGTTTGAAGACAGCATTGGACTGTGCGCGGGGAAATTGCAGCCCTCATTCCTAGCGTGAATCTGTACTTTCTCCGATATGAGGGGCAGGTCTGCTAACACCTACTTTCTGAAATCTTTGCAAAGTGATTTCTGAAAGTCAGAGAGCTAGTGTTCTGGAAGTTTAGGCGTAAACAAAGCACGCCTCCCCTTCCACTGGCTTTCTGCCTCAAGACAGGTGAGTGGGAGAAACTGGGGTTGAGGAAGCTATTGTAAGTAGGTGGCCTACTCTAGTCTGAGGGTTTCAAGTGAGACACAGGCTGTTTCAAAGAGTAGAAGGAACAGCCTGAGCCACTACACTTGTGCTGAAGTGGTCTGTTTTTTTTTTTTTTTTTTCAAAGCAAAAACAGCACTTATCCCGTTTGTATTGTAAGTCCTGTCTGTTCATTCTGTTATGCTCCGTGTCCTTCTTTCCTGGGCTGTGTCTGCTGCATTTGTCAAAGTTAGTCTAGGGTTTCTGACAACTTTTCCTCTTGCTACTCAGAATTAAGAATCTCTTTAAAATCTCCTGTGTGGCACTGTAACCTATCGTAAGGAACAAGGATGGTTCAAACACAAAGCCATTATTCTGGCTCCACTGGCAGCTCTTCCACTAGAGAAGGCCGGGTTACAGTGACGTTCAGTTCTGTGGTGACACCCGAGAGGCATTTAAGCAAGAAAACTCACCTGGAATTGTTTCTCTAGTTTTGTCTTGCCTGTTGGTCCAGGTATGAGGAGCGTGTTAACATAGGAATGGATGTGGCTGTCTGGCACCTCAGTTTCTTTGCTGAGAATGGCCTCAACCAGTGTATCGTGAATAAAGACGTACTGCTCCTGAGAAAACAATGGCAATAGAAACACTGGTTTACATCAATCCTGACAGATAACCAGGTACAGATTTGACAGAAAGCTGGAGGTCAACAGACTGGTTGTGCGCAGTCCTGCCAAAGATTGCTAATGAGGCCTGGTGGGAAGGCAGGCAGGAGGGGAAGTGACCCAGACAGAAACAACTTCTTCTCATTCCTCCTCCATGTGCCTCATGTTGATATTGGTGGATAGGAAGGAGAACGGAAGCCCTGGGTAGGTGAAGCCAAGTCCACTGCCTTCCGCAGTCTGGAGCCTCACTTGTTTCCAATAAGGAGCACTCCCCTGACTCCAGCGCTTCCGGTGGGCTTGCCCTGGTGGCTAGAAGCCAGTCACGAATGAGCAGAGTGGTTTCCTGGTTAGGTGCTTGTCATCCCAACACAAAGTAGATATTCCTGGTAAGGGGAATGCTCGATCAGGGAGAGGCCTTCCTCAGATTAGCCTGTGCCTTTTTGTGTGTCTTGGGGGTGGGGCATGTTTCCTGATTGTTAATGGGATGTGGGTGAAGCCATCCCTGGTCAGGCGGGTCTTGGCTGTGTAAGATAGGTAGCTGAGGAAGCCAGGAGAAGCAAGAATCAGCATTGTCCCAATCTCTGCTTTATTTCCGTCCGGTCTGCCCTGGATGGCGGAATGGAAGCTATAAGCTAAAATGAAACCTTTCCTCCCTAAGCTGGTTTTGGCCAGTGTTTTGTCACAGCAACAGAGAGCAAACCACAACACGTGCATTCAAAGATCGTCGGGTTGGCGTTTAAAGATTCTCTTATATTTCATTACTCGGATTTTTCTCTGGTCCTGTCTGACAGAAAGTCATTTCAGTGATGGAATGTGGTTTTAGTTTGTTTTTTTGTCTTGGACTAGTCATATATTTCTGGTTATCGTTAAGGCCGTATCATAGTTTTCAATCTACAATCATTCTTTTTTATTTGAAAACAGGAAAGAATAACACACAGTTTTGTGAACTTTGTCCTGCTCTCTCTATATGGTCATGCATTATTAACAGAAGAATCTGAGTCCATTAGTTGTCTGTGTTGATCAGCTCTAGGTGTTTGTGAACATAGGTAATGTTGAGTGCTCTGCTCACTCTGGTTCTTTTTTATAACTATGGTCATATGAAATATAGCTATCATTTTTGTCACAAAATGGGCAGAATTTAGCTGGCCTATTCATGACTTATCTGTAACTGAGTGTTATAGGTTGATTTGTATTTCCCTAATAGACAAATCGCACCTCAGCACAGAAATACTTCTAAATATGGTCTAGCAAATAGGGGCACTGCAGATATATATATATATATATATATATATATATATATATATTTTTTTTTTTTTTTTTTTTTTTTTTCAATTCAGCTGGCATTCACATTAGAAGAGGAAAATTTTGACACGGAGAATATAGTCATAAGAACATCGAGGGAGAGATTAGAATAATGCTCCCAGGATTAAGGAGACAAATGCAGCTTAGGAAGGAGAGAATCCAAAACAAAATACGGAAACACACACTTCTCCAAGCATAGGAAGAACCACAGCCCTGCCAATCCTCCACTGATGGAATCTCACACTTCTCCAAGCATAGGAAGAACCACAGCCCTGCCAATCCTCCACTGATGGGCTCTCACACTTGAGAGTGATGCAAATGCATCCCTGTCCTTCTTACCCTTGCTGCAAGCACTTCCTCTTTACGGCCATCCTCAGAGGGTAACATACCTTTTACTGACACCTCCATACTTTAAACCAAAATATATTTAAAAAAAAATAATACCTCCGTTTGCACCAAATAATTTCTTTGTGAACGGATGTGTTTCAAGAAGCCAAATATGTTGACGGTTCCTTCGTGTTGAATCTGTTGCAGCATACTGTCCAGCACAATGTAGGTTCCCGTTCTCCCAACTCCAGCACTGACGGGAGGAAGAGAAAGGAACACTTCCATGTCAAGCACAAAGGGAGCATGAAAGGAGGTCACTATTAGCTGTCAGGCTGATAAAAAAAACAGCTACTTTCCCCAAGCAAACAAGGCAGATATAAACTTCGCAATCTGAAGTTATCAACAGTGTGGCAGTTCACGGGAATACTTGATGTTCACTTTTGTTTACTTTTGTTTCTGCTGTGAGCCTAACGGCAAGGCAAGCTGACTATTTCTGTGGGATGTTTTAAAAACAGTTCCAATAGGTATTGCTGGCTGTCTGATATACAGTGGAATATCATGTACCAGGGAATAGTAGGTAAAGGAGACATTTAATTTGAGAAAAATGAAAGCATTTGCTTCAGCAAATTCTGAAAGGCGAAGGTCGGGGTCTCCATTGCCAGGTAGACGTGTTTGCAAAGGTTTTGACACTAGTTAGAGAAGAGAATTTGATGACGGGGCTTCAGCTGAAAATTTCATTTCAGTGAGGTGCAAGGAACAAAGCACAACTCCTGCCATTTCTAAAGGACCATTATTACCCGCCTTCTTCAAAGTCTCTGTCTGAGCGACAAAACTCAGGCACAGATTCTTTTCAAATGTCCCCGCAAGTACTATAGTGCAAATTAGCACCCATTCTGCACAATAGCCAGGTCCTTGTCCCTTCACTGGGAGACAATCCCTGACCTTCAGAAGGTTGTTTTCTTGCATTCTTCGGTTTTCCTCAGTTTATTGTCAAGACACCAGATTAAAGACCCTCAAGATCAACCTCTCCAGCTTTATCTGAGAATAAATCCAAGGAGGTGATTAGAATGTGTCAGATGAACTGTGTATCAAAGGCAAACAGTTGCTTCTGTGAAAGCGCAGACACTGCTTTGACACAAACAGTGAGGGGAGAAATGGAAGCGATTTTGCAGCTGCCACACGGTCAGTATTAACTGCCATTATTTTAACTGCAAAACATAAGAGTAGCATATCTAGTACAAACTTTTGTGTGTAATAATGTTATTTCTATTTATTAGTCTCCTCTTGGAAATCCTGGTTCCTGGGCAACAATGACGTGCTAATAGAGTCGACATGACTTTCAAGAAGTTGGGAAAACAAGAAAGCAATTTGACGGCCAAAATATTTTTAAAAAGTCAGGTTATTTTGCTAAATTTCTCCAAGTCTGAGTGCCTGGCTTTCTCTAATATAAGCCTGGCATGATAACTCTAGATTATGTCAGAACACGGACACTGTCTTAAGCATTTTAAGTCTCATCCTATGGTGTTGTGTGTGGCTAATAGATGCTCAAGGACAAAACAGTGCTGTGACTATTTCATAGTTAATAAGTTAAAATCCAATTCAGCAATCAGACAGACCAGTACCTGCTGCTCTGAAATCTTCAGCCTTCCAGTTGTGAGGCTAGTATCCTCGCTCTTACTGATCAATACTTATGAGGATGGGAATATGATTTCACTTCCCTTGTTACATGAAGTCATTTCTAGTTTGGCAGAAGCCATTCCTTGAATCTTCACGGATCAGCAAAGAAGTTCTGTACAGACATCTCCGAGACTCACCTGCAGTGGACGACCACTGGCCCCACAGCATGGCGCTTGGCCTGGGCAGCCTTTCTCACGAAGGTCAGCACTGGCAGTGAGTACTCCGGAACCCCCATGTCAGGCCACTGAGTGTAATGGTACTGTGTGACTAGGCGTCCACTGGATCTTCCCTTCTGGGAGCCCTGGAAGAGTTCAGACAGTTGAGAGCAGCAAATGAGAATTCCGCATTTTGGATACATTGTGAGGTGGCTAAATTATGCTAATTATCATTCATGTTACCTTACATATTTACTTTTGGGTGAAAACATATATATATATATATATATATATATATATATATATATATATA